CCCAAACGCCCACAATACAGACCATCCAACCAACTCACTACAAGACACCCCTCCCAACCCTCTCACTCCCCACTGTACAACAAACCCCCACCCCACCCCAAAATCCAGCATCCAGCATCCTCCCTCCTCAACACTCACAAATAAACACCAACAAACCCTGCAAAAACATTACCACCAACACCTCTCCCCCCTCCCCCAGCAATGTCCCCCACCAAACTCCCAAACAACAATCCCATTCAAATCAGCCCTTCTCATACCCTCCATGCAAACAAACAGAAAAACACAGACACCCAACAAATAAAACTCTACAAGAATCATCGAGTTTGTTGCAGCTGCCTTATAATAAAAAAAATCCCACTGCAAAAAAAACCTCCATACATTGGCTCTCATATCTACACTTTGCCACAAATGCTTTCACAACTTCTTATCTGCCCTCAACCTAACCTAAAAAGCCACTGAAAAATAAGCCCCTGACCATGAATTTTTCCATTTTCCTTCTATTATTATCCTACATCATGGTGATTTTACAGTGGAACTGTAATGGTCTCCGCTCAAAGGGCATGAGCTAAAGGCATACACAGCCCTAAATAAAATTCAACCACTTGTCACTGCTGTTCAGGAAACCAGAATTTATCCAAAAGTATGCCATCAAAATTCCAGTCTATACGATTTAATTCGAAGGATAGACCTCGCCACCAAATATCCCAGGGCCCCCTCATCGCGGTCTGGATATATTCATAAAAAAATTCTCCAAAGTACAATAAAAATTGATATACCCACCAAAAACTTAATCCTGGCCATCAACACTACAATAAACATAAGCTGACCAAGAATTACTCTCTCATCACACAACCCAAAACACATTTTTCAAGGAGACCTAGATGCACACCACCCAGTGTGGGGCACAAAAAACTATTCTGATAAATATGGCAAACTCCTAATAAACTGGATCGAGAACAATAACCTCATATGCTTAAACAACAGCCAACCCACAAAATCCAACTGCAGTGGACATTTCGCTAATAACTAAAAATCTATCTCAAAAGCAAAGCTGGGGTGTTCATAATGACACCTGGAGAAGCGACCATTGTCCAATCAAAATTACATTTAACTCTAAACAAAACTCTCCTCCCATCTCAGATCCTTCAGACACAAAAAAACTTCAAAAGTACACTCAGCACACAACCACGTACCCTGGTGGAGCATTGAAGTTATAAATGTCCGAAACATCAGAGAAAAAAGGCTCTCAACCAATCAAAGAGAGACCGTTCCAAATTACCACAAATAAGGAAAATAAAGTAAAAATATATTACAGCAGCAAAAAGAACTAGAACTTTGTGGAAAAAATTTAAAGCCATTAAGGGAAATTCCAAAACAAAAATTCAGCAAACATTCTGAACCTAACCACAAACAAAGAAAAAACTAATGCTATTTCTGCCCATATTGCAAAAACCAGTAGCCCCATAAACCACCAACACCAGGATTCCTGGGGAAAATAAAGAAACACCGAAAATACTCTCCCTTAGCAGGACAAAACACTAGGTATACACAAACTACAAACAGTCAACAACAACAAAAAATACAGCATCAGCCACAGGTTTAGACAACATCAGCTATATCATATTAAACCACATCCCCCCTAAAATCCAAAAATTATTACTCGAACTCCTTAACCAAATCTGGATTTCTGGCACCATCCCCAATCATGGAAAGCAGCTATGGGCCCTAAAACCAGGGAAACCCTCCACTGAGCCTCTCATATTGCCCCATCTCCTTAACATCCCATACATGCAAAATCAAGGAATCAATAATTAACCTTTAGCCTGCTGAATAAATTTCACACTTCTTACCCTGCCTGCTGGATTAATTTTAGCATAAGGCGCTCTAAAGAGGGTGGGTGATTTCAAACAGTCGGTGCCTCATTAAACAAGGGCCAATTGAAGAAATATTTTGCACATTTATTCATGATAGAAAACTACACAGTACTATATAAAAATATCCCGATGTTTTCAATCATACCAAGGTAAATACCTAAGTTAACACAAAATTTGTAAATTTTCTTGAACTTATCTGAATTGTGTTATTGGAGGTGGTTTGCGTTTCATGCTATGAACCTTTTAATATCATAACATTTGTGCAAATTGATTTCAATAATCATATCTCCAATATCTTGATTTTAATTGAGTAAAAATTCGGGTTTTTTAATCGGCAAATAACAGCGCGATGGTAAATTATGAACCATTTCAGTAAATTTATTATCTAAACGTTAAACAGAAAAATAACTTAATTTTCGAGGTCATCATGTCGGTTGCAGAAATACGAACATTCGGGTTAATCTGACGTGTCATGTTATAAAATTTGCAGGAAACAATAAATGACTTATAAATATTCACTAATCCTAATTTCAAGCGTTTTGGTTGAATATCTAAATAAACAACCCTAGTCATGATGCTAGCAGACGTCCTAAAATCAAACATGGGGCGCTTCGCCCGACCTCTGAATAACTCTTTGCTATTTCAATATCAACAAAGTTTACATTGCCTTTATAAATATGCCTTGGGGAGAGTTGACGATCTTCTCCATCGAGGGATGTTTTATTTGTCATTTTCCAATGAATATGACGAGAGAAAAACGAAAATAAAGATCGTGAATTCTGATAGCAATAATTCAGTAAGTGCAAAGGTCACCGGATGTGATGTCATAGACAGGGGTTGTCTCCTGATAAATTCAAAGGCTCAAATTCCAAATTTCTAAAAATCACCTTTTTAGGTGCATCTATAAACACCATAAAAAAAACAAGGCTAGGTACTAGTCTCACACAAATACAGCAGAACTCTTGGCTATATCTACTGCTTTCCACCAAGTCAAGAGTTTAAACCACAAACATTTTCTTATCATTTCAGATTCTTTAGGCTCTATACAACAAATTCAAAATAAACACTCAAAAATCTAAAAAACAACATCATCATATCAACTTAATAACATCATCCACCATAACTCAAAACTTAAATCTACAGAAAAGTCAATAACAATACTTTGGGTACCTCACCACCTTCACATCCCTGGTAACAACACAGTGGACCTGGCAGCCAAAATAACCACCAAAAATCCCTCCCCACAACTAAAGTTCCTTATCAGTAAAGCTGAAATCAAAACATTAATAAAAAACCCATCAAGAGTCAAAATTTTGAAATTCTCATTCAAAATTGTAAATCCCCTTGGATAAAATCACTTTCTAAAATCCCAATAACAAAAACCACAATTTCTCTACCTCGACCCATTTAGATAAAATAATCACTTGAAACCACAGTGGTGCAACAAATTTAAATAAATATAATATTTAAACTTCAAAAACTTACTAATGGTAACTATAATTTCTGCAATAGCCCAGAGGACTTTCACCACATCTTTAATCTCTGCCCTCTTTACTTTCAACAGCAACAAACTCTACTCAATTTCATACCACTGAACTTAAAAAAAAATCTATCACTTCTTTTCAATCCATAAACTCCTCCGGCAGTCTTCTCAGCTATATTCACATTCATAAAACGTGCAAACATACTATACAAATTTTACTCCTTCCCACACAAAGTCATCTTCCAAAACACTGAATGTAAACTTTTCCATTTTCGGATCGGGATCGAAATTCTCATTGCGGACTGTCTTCTACAACATTGCGCCAAATTTCCCTAAACCAGCCTCTCACCACCATGTTCACTTAACCAGACAATCTCCAGCAAGTTCAAGGTCACTCAACCCGACTCACACTCAAACACAACACTGCCACCATATTGCCATCTAGCCTCGCCTCCCAGCCCAACTTTTTTTAACATAGGCTTCTAAATGTAAAACCTTTTTCTTTATTTATAGGCCCCTATTAACTATCAACTTAACTGCTGTGCTCATCCAGCCGATCTAGATATCTTATATTAATTTTTTACTAGACTACACTTATTCAAAACAATTTACTTTTTTTCTCTTTTGGATTTATTGTTACTTTTTATTAATTACATATTACTTCAATTACATATTTTAAAAATTATTCCATCATTTACATATTTTTATTTATATTAAAGCCACCTGACCCCGTCCACGAAATTGGAATCCCAGAAGTGGATGTTAAACACCCAAATGATGATGATTATTCAGCCTTGTTTGACATTGTTTAAGGACCTATACTGAAATGTTGCCATAACAGTAAAATGAAGTAGTTATCTATAAATTGTGTCCGATATGAGAGAATGTTGAGAACAAAGACTTGAAAATATGGTGGTTACAGGAATCTTGAATCACACAACATCTTGATTCTTGGTCCATTTACGTTCAAGAAAGAGCTGCATGGACCAAGTCTATTCTCTCCTGCTCAATCTCTGATATCAAATTTAATTTGTGTATGGTTGTAATCAGCGACCACCTTAGTCAACACTGGAAGCTAACTACGGTAAACATGGTACCTCATACTTGAAATAAAGAATCACAAACAAAACACTTTCAGCTTTATAAATTGGTAGAGAAGAGATTCAGAGTTAAATTTGTTTACAGGATTTCCATGGCAACCAAAGCAGTAAATAAAGTTAAGTGAAATATTGAAATATTTATCAGGTCACATTTTACAACTTATGGAATCTATAAGTGATTTTGTGAGCAGATTTTAGAGACACCTTTGCTGGGATCACTGACAAAATGTTTCAGCTTCAAAGGCTTCGCATTGCAAAGACTGGCGTAAAACAGGATCATGTGAAGGTGAAAAGTCATAGAAGCATATCAAATCTATGATCCCAAACTGGACATATTCTATTCCTCATTCCACAAGCATTCATGATATGGCAGAGTAATGGCTGAGTATTTGGTGAGGGTGACCAATTCTGTGAGCAATCCATGTAATATTAATATTTAAGCTTTTAAGCCTTTAATATGGTCCCAGAGAAGAATTCAAAATAAAATATTAATATGACCATGCAACAGACTATGAAATAAGCTAAATTGAGTGAAACACTTACAACAGTGATGAGAGCTTCCCCAACCTGGCTGTTGGTGATGAACTTGGAGAGGGCAGTGAGGGAGCTAGGGGGGAGACCTGCAAATGTAAACAGTTTTTCGTTTGCTATATGAAAATTATTCATTTCTACATTAGGTCCCTATAGCAGTAAAACGACCTGCAAACTTAAGAAAAATGAGTAAATAGGTTGTGGTACAGCAAGACAAATTGAGGCAAAACTATAATAGCTTTGCTTAAATAGCACCATTGCACAGTAGCTAAGCCTAAACTGCAACAAAGAAAACACCAAGTTGTGAATATGCCAACTTCAGTTTGATAAAACAAGAGAACAAGAGGTTGTGAATACATATATGAAACTTGTTGCCACGGAAACTAAAAAAGTATTTATTTGAAAAATCTCAAACCATAAAAAGGTACCAGTTTAAAACTAGACCTATCTTTGTGCCAAGTTTGGTAAAGAAATATTGTAACGTTTTTAAGATCTGCTCCAGAAATGAGCACTACCACTATTTCCAGCCAAGTTAAATTTTTTGCCACAGACACGAAAATTTATAATTTCACAATAAATTGTATATTTACATACTGATACTATCTCAGACTATGCATTTCATCCTTCTTCTTCAATCCTGGTGTGGAAACGATCCTAAACAGTTTCCAGTTACAAACAAAAACACTAAAACACAACCCAGTTGATACCATGGTCCCCACCCTATACAATGAGTCAAACACAACCCGAATCTTGTGCGACTTGATCACATGACATACCCAGCATACTCTGGGTTGTATCTTGTATTTCAGGTTATAAATAGTTTATTATTGTTTATTATTCTCTCAAGTCCCAATAGAGGGTACCCATACTTAATCAATAGAGGCTTAAGTTTATGTCATAGAAGTCACTGTAAGGTGCAACCATTTACATAAATTGTGTCACGATCTTCTACCTGCTAACCTCTGTCTTATACATGTTATGTCTCAGTAGTTGTGTTGAAGACCCGTATTGATATGGTCATTTCCTCTTCTTGTTCTAAGCATACTCAATTTCTGCGGTTGTGATTGATAGTTTTGACGAAGAATAACATAAATGCCAAGCTGGCTCACCTTAGGTCACCACTGGATCATGCAGTGTTCGGCCTCTCTTGTAGGGCTTAGATCCAACTCCTCTTGTAAATGGGCTAGGTTAAAGTCTAGGGTGAATAAGGTTCCCCTAGTTCAAAGCTACATGTCGTTCAGTAGATCAACATTCTGTTCGAAAACACAACACACAAGTTACCTGCTCTCATGATGTATCTGTCTGACTAGCCCAAAGGGGTCTTGTGAAGCAACCCTTGCAGCATGTCTAACATGTTGCAATAGTTATTTCAGTATGTACAAGATACGGTGTATGAAGTAGGTACTACATATCTTCATTTGTGCTGATGATATGCCGTCAGTTGTTGTGCCAGGACTAAAGGACTGAACTAGTGAAGGCTTTGGAAACCTGTGACTGAGATGTCATATAGATCGTGGGAAGTGAAAACTGTATTGAACTTTCAGAAGCACCCTTCCATAATGTCAGGTAACGTTCAGTTACTGTGCAACACCATCGTAAAGGGGGCAGTCCTTGTTTCATGTGGATTTATGCCACCAGGGGAGGCAATCCTGCATAGGTGATGGCTTGTAGAATCACTGAGCCTAGCCAAAAGGGAACCATTGTATAGGAGACTTCCATGTTGGCCGCTGTAGATAATCCTGGTATAAAGGGTTTCTTCTGGGAGAGTTGTAGCATCGCTGAAGCGTTCAGGAAAATGTCTAGAGCTCAAAGCTGGCCTAAGGAGATGTCTTCATGATAACCTGTATTAAAAACGGAAGCCAGAGGAGGGATGGTGAACAACCGATCTGGTTGGCCTGGGAGTTCATTCTTCAAAACAAAACCCCACAAACTCCCAGGTAAGCCTTCTCGTGACGTTGCCTCTCAAACCAGACTCTGGTGACATCAAGAGAATGAATTTCACTAACTCGGGCAGCTGCTGCTGCTACCAGGAGGTGTCTTTAGGGTGTTATGCTCAAAAACCTTCTCTTTAAGGAGTTCATACATATCCCTGTGAAGTAAGATGATGTAAAATGACATCAAGGTCGAAAGTAGGCGGTCGAAAGCAGAACGATTGGACAGCCAGCTTGTAGCTACGTATAAGAACCTGCAACTCTGCAAACATTGAGATCTTTTAACCTGCCTTAGTGGCAATCACAGAATTAATTGCAGCAAGATAGGTTGCCAGAATGGAACCTTTGCGCTTCCATGTAGACCGTAAGAGCTGTAAATATTTGACAACTTGTTGGGTTGAAGCAAGAGTCAGAGTTGTGATGTTGTGTGTATGAAAGTACCCTTCAAAGACTTTCCACTAATGGTCATGCAAGGTCAGAGTGGAAGTGCCCCTTGAAGATTACCCCTTGGCTACAATGCAACTAGTTGGATTTGAGGTTAGAGGAGTAAATCTCTTCACAGTGGTAGACAATGGTATCTCGTGGTAGTTCTGGCCTGCTGATAAGGCGTGACCAAAAGCATTCAAAGATGTTTAATTGCTGCTGCCATCTGAAGTACCCAAGGAAGAAAGCTTGTCCCCCTTGAGATGGCTAGAGCAACATTGTCCTATGCCTTTGGATCTGGGTGATAAGAACCATGGTAACTGTGTCTTGAACCAGGTTGCAAAGAGGTCGATGTCTGGGCTTGATACAGGATAGACCGGCAGCCCAGAGCACTTTGGTCAAACGAACAAGGTACCAATATCCGAACACAGGAACATTTACTGTGTAACTCAACATATTCATATATGGATGTCTGCCGGGGAGCCCCTGCTGCGTGTGGCCCCTGGCCCCCCAAAAGAAGGGGCCATTCAAGGGCTGGATCAAACATTGGAGGTACCACATGAAAGTAAGTGTAAATGAACTGGTACATCTCACAGAGTACAGAATGGGCCACGCCAGACAAATCTTCCTCTGCAAAAGGCCTGCCAGACACCCCCAAAGAGGGTCCCAAAATTTGGGCTGGGTTAAACATTGGAGGTACCACATGAAACCAACATAAAATGAACAATTGCACTCTACTTATTGCATAATACCCATTGCCAGACAAATCATCTGCATAAGGCCCGCCAGACACCCACAAAAAGTTGACCCTTCAGGTATACACGGGTAAAATTGGTCTGGAATATATATCGATTGTACCACATTAAGGTACGTTTGAATGAACAGGTTCATATCACAGAGTACAGAATGGGCCACACCAGACAAATCTTCCTCTGCATAAGGCTTAAACATTGGAGGTATCACATGGAACCAACATAAAATGAACTATTACACTCTACTTATTACAAAATACCCATTGCCAGACAAATCCTCTTCTGCATGAGGCCCGCTAGACAGACCCTCACCCCATCCCACACAGTTGACCCTCTGTAATCCCAGTGTGCATAATGAAACATTGGACATCAGCTCTGAGAGTCAACAGATGGTCAAATTTATGTTTTGTTCTTAAAGATGGAAGGATTTTATTGAGATTAAAATCACGTATTTATAAAATCAGGTCTCTGAATACTAGTATTGATATCATAGATTAGGCCTATCGTTGAAATGTAATAAAAAAGGCATGAATCGGATTCTTGTGAATATATATCTGATCAGCTATGAAGTCCTCAAAGCCTGCTATAGCCTGATAGCTTGGCTATGGATTCCTACAAACCCAAACATGCTTAGGTAGTTCTCAAAGCCTGCTATAAGAATGGTAAATGACAGTCCCTAATACCATTTGGAAATCTTTTGGTGATAATTGTGTTTAAAAACCTATGATCTCCGTTTATTTAGCAAGTTTTATCATCTAAAAAGCTGAATGTTAAATTGATAAATATGGAGATATATTTGGCCTGAATTCAGATTTTTAGATGATAAAACTTGCTAAATAAATGGAGATCATAGGTTATTAAACACAATTATCACCCCGAATTTCCAGATTATCATCCTAAAACATTTCCAAGTGGCATTAGGGACTATCATTATCCATTCAGCAACACTCAACAACAAAAGTGTATAGTGTATTTTTCAAACAAGTAAAGTTTGGTTTTCATTATTGTAGTACATGTATGGAATCAAGTCACAAAAACGCAAATGCTACAGAAAAGCATGCATTCCATGCAAATGTTGACTTTTATGCAAGCCCCATGCATTTCGTGTGCGTTAACGGGATTCCATATGCATTGTTTAGCATCGTGCTGACAACAACCATTCAGAAAAACAACAAAATTACGCAATTATTCAACATTATGAAATGCCACGCTTGTCCGAAAACGAGCGTCTGCGAACCATTGGTGTGCTTGAAGAAGGATTGAGTCAACGTGATGTTGCAAGACAATTTAACGTCCACAGAAACACCATTTGGTGTTTATGGCAACGTTGGCAACAGACGAATGCAGTCAGAGACCATCCTCGGAGTGGCAGGCCACGCGTAACCAATAATCGACAAGACAACTGGATTCGAACAACACACCTACGAAATCGATTCTATCCAGCAACAGTGACTGCAAGAAGCATCCCTGCCCTTCGACGATTATCTTCACAAACCGTACGTCTCCGCCTCAGATGTGCAGGGATTGTCTTCATTGTGTCATGGAAGAAGATCGGTTCTGGGGCGGCAGCGTTTTGGTATCGGGTGGGATTACAGCAAGACAGAGGACCCGTTTGATAGTGGTAGAGGTAAATCTGAATGGACAGCGCTACCGCGACGAGATCATCGGACCTGTTGTTCTACCATTTTTGAGTCGTCATGGCCCAGGCATTACCTTTCAACATGACAACGCCCGGCCTCATATTGCTCGACTTGTTCAGGATCTCTTCAACAAAAACAACGTGAATGGCATCCCCTGGCCGGCTCGCTCCCCTGATCTATCAGCAATCGAGCACATGGGGGATGAGATGGATCGGCGCCTTCAACGTCAACCACGTGTTCCACAGACACTCCTGGAACTTCGAAACATGCTCCAGCAGATATGGACAGATATCCCACAGAACTTTGTGCGACGCCTGGTCCATTCCATGAGACGAAGATGTGT